TGTAGAACAGTGATCCCTCTTTGCTTCAAGATCCACTCTTCTCACCCTGCCCTGATCCCAGCATCTGAGCAATACACAGGGGAGCAGCAAGAGCCCTGGGCAGACCCTCACCTCCTCCAGCAGAACATCCAAGTCTGTCATGGGAAGCTGGCTGTCTGTCCTCATGGACACAAGGACACGTTTCACTCCTGGACACTGCTTCACAGCCTGGTCCACTGTTTTCTTCAGCTCCACAACCTTGCCACCTCTCAGCCCCTGGTTCACTGTGATCACTGTCTCCGACTGGGCTGCAGAAGGCAGAAGAGCCGCATAAGTACCTGTGCCCCCTCCACACAGTGCACACCAGTCTCTCTCTGCCAAGCACCCTTCCCATAGTCTGAAAGACACTCAGTGTGCCCCCTGCCATTTTCCTGGAGTGCTGCTGCCTGCTCTTTGGCCGTGCAGCACAACAGGACATCCCCCATCAGCACAGATCCATAGCAAGTCTGCACCTTGGCCATGCTCATTTCCCTAAACCCCCAGCTGCCAAGCCAACAAGCTCGATGGTGTCCCCAGATGGCAATGCTGGATGTGTCCCTGTTCCCCATTGGCTCTTACCATCCCGGATCCTGTCTGCCAGGGACTCCGCACTGAACCCAGCAAACACCACAGCATGCACAGCCCCTATTCGGGCACAGGCCAGCATGCTCGCCACTGCCAATGGGCACGGAGGCATGTAGATTGTCACTCTGTCACCTCGTTTCACCCCCTGCCGTTTCAGGGTGTTGCTCAGGCGGCATGTCAGCTCCAGCAGCTCCCTGCCCAAAGAAGCAATGCATAGTTAAGGACTTTCTTGCAAATCTGCCTCGTATGCACAGAGTTGGGGGTGCCCCAGCCTCCCAAGGCTCTAAAGCCACCAGTCTGCATTTCATCCCTCAGCACCCTGTGCGGGAAGTCCTTCTACGTCCTTTAACAGCTGTGAAATGGCAGTGGGAAGGAAGTGGGAGACCATCACCAGAGACGGGCTGTTACTTATGGCAAAGAAATTAACCAGAAGGGTCTGTGTGCAGAGCCTGGCACTGCCACTAACAGCCGTAGAAGCCAGCCCTGGATCCAGTAATGGCCACTAGCAATCCCTATGGCTCAGCCAGTCCATTATGCCTCTACTGACTTTTCCGATGACAGCCTACATATTTCTTACCAGCCCTTACAACAATGGGAGTGACACACCCTGCCCTGCAAGACCAGGGACTTGCAAGAGGAGTCAGATATCTTCCCCCAGCAGATAAAAATGGGCCCTTTGCTCAGTTATAGGTGGGAAGATCAAATCCTCCAGAGCTCTGCCTACCAGTGAGAACAACAGCTGTAGGAAACTGTGAGCAAAACAATGTCTCTGCCTGAAACAGGAGCTTGGCTGTCAGTGACTCATTTCATAGAAGGTCTCTCCATGAAAGGAGGTTGGCAAACCTTGCCAGCCCAGCCTCCCTTGCAGAGTATTCATCTCTCAGTCACCAGAAACCTTGGCAGGGACTCCGTAGGGATGACCAGGAGACAGGCTGATGCCTCAGAGTAGCACAAGCAGGCCAGCAGCCCTTACACTGGTGATCCAATTATGGGAAGAGATGCTGTGTTCTCTTGCAGGACACATCAGTGAAGCAGACCTTTGCAGTGTGTGCATGTCTCACATATGCTCAGAGGTATGCACTGACCTGTATGTGACCCGCACCTCCTCTCCTGGTTCATCCTTCTCCCAGATTAAGGCCACTTTGTCTGGGGCTACATGGACATGTCGGTCCAAGCAGTTCACTGGAAAAGATGACCCAGTATCACTGCCAGAACTTCCTGCTCCCAGTAGCCCAGCCTCTGCCTGTTGCACTCCTCAGTGTCCCAGTGCATATTAATCTCCACGTATCGACATTCCTCTTAACCACAACCTAACACAGCCTGGTGCAGGAATTGCCTTAAATCCCTTGAAGGTCACATCCATAGTGCCAGCTGTGGGCCTCAGAAGGCCTGGTAAACATTAACTTGACCACCATTCTGCCCTTGCTACTGCCTCCACAGTGAAATGTGGCTATCCTTATAGCAGCCGTGCTCCTAAATAACAAATGTAGGATGAGGAGAAAATCTGTGCACGAAAATTGCAGAGTGCAAGACAAAGCAGAGCCATTCATGCATAGCACCGGCCTCCCGGGGGCACTGAGGCATTCAGCCTTTGGCTGCAGTTCTTTTAGGAAGTTTCTTGCACCTCCGGCTATAGCATACTCATCAGAAACCCTGTTACATTCCATATTTTCCTTTCTTAGATTACCTGCTACTGAGGTCATGGGATGATGCAACAGCCTGTCTGCATTTAAAAATACCTTTTTCTCCTGAACACTTGTAGTTTTGTGGGAGGAAAAGAAGCAAACCAAGCAGCCCAGGAGTGGGAACAGGAAAATCTCCTGCTCCCCTGCCCAAATAAACCTCATAAGACCTAGTTATGGGGAGTTTTGTTGTACTCTCTTTTTGAACTCTGGGACCAACAGCAGTGCAAGCAGGAACATGGTGTCACCAGTCCCTTCTTTTCCTCTGGTAGCACCCTTTTGCAGTGGGGAAAAGCATCCCGTGACTATGAAGGCCAATGGGACTTCTTGGGGAATTCCGTCACTCTAGCACTTTTTGCTTCTGGGGCCACAGCACTTCATAGGATGGTATCTACAGACACTTAGAATCACAGAATCACTTAAGTTGGAAAAGACCCTTAAGATTATAAGTTCCAGCCATCAGCCTGACATTACCAAGTTCACCACTAAATCATATCCCGAAGTGTCACATCCACACATCTCTTAAATATCTCCAGGGACAGTAGTCCCCTGACTTCCCTGGGTGGCAGTCCAACATCTACAGAATTCTTCCTGCTATCCATCCTACACCTCCCCTGGCACAGCTTGGTGCTGTCACCGGGCTCCCGTGGGCTAAATATCAAAAGGACTCCCCCAGTACACAGAACAGGCAGAGAGCTCCCTCCCATAAGACAACATGCAGGCAGGCCTTCCCCCCATCCCCCTATCTCCTGGGTAAGGTAGGAAGCACCCTCCCTCCCCAGTACACCCTCAGCCCATCTGTGAGGCACCAGGTCCCCGTGGGGCTCACTGTCCCCTCACCTGCCACGTTGAGCCGTCCCCCCAGGAACCAGGCAGCCCGGCCCTGGCGCAGATCACAGTCCTGGACAGAGTGAAAGGGGGTGATCCAGGAGAGCCGGCTCCTTGCCAGCGCTCCCCAGAAGGCATCCCCCTGCTCCACCGATGTCTTGTACAAGCCCTGGTGATCCTGAGCTTCAGGGAAGGAGGCAGCTTCTGGCATGTAGGCAGTGAGAGGGCCCTGGCTCCAGGACCGAGCACTCACCAACCCACAAAGATATCTGGAAACCCGAGGAAGAGCTCTGGGGCAGCAAGCTCTAGTCAGCAGCCAGGCCATAGTCACAGTGCAGCAGATGACTTTCAACCTCTTCGTAAGGAGATACGTGCTCAGAGCCCTCACAAGTTCCACCCCTATGGGAGCTGGGATCCAGACAGAGCCCCCGTCCTGGGAGCCCAGGGCACCCCTTGTCCCATGCACCTCCTCTCTGTTGGAACAGCACAGGGAAAGAAACCCAATCCCTATAAACAGAGAGGAAGGGGTGGGCTTTAGAACTATTTGTCTGAAAATAACCCTCATGCTAATCTGAGTCCTGCCAGCCTTCCCTGGATAGCAGCCAGCTGCAGCGCACGCTCGGGCTGCCCGTGGAACCAGGTGCCGGGCCAGGCTGCCCCAGCTGCTTCCCAGGTTTATCTCCTGCAGCTGTCACCTGGATGAGATACCCCACCCATCTCCTGCTGGGCACACACCCTTTCTCCACGAAGCTGGGCTGGGCTCTCTACCTCTTCTAACTGTCTTAGAACAGCTTGTAGCAGCACTAATGGAGGTCTTGGTGGAGCAGGCTTGGGTGAAATACTGCAGCCCATCTCCTCACTCTGAGATCCCCAGCACCTGTGTAGTGGAGCGAAGCTGCTCCTGCCTCATTACAGCTTTCTTCTGGCCTCCTTTCCTTTGGGTCCAGCACCTCTCTGTGCTGCTTGGAGCTCACTGAAGTATTTCTGGGTAAGGTCTGAAACCTCACCCCTCTCAGCTCTGGCTGAATTCATTTTCCTTGAAAAAGTGACCAGGCTCACACACCGTATTCCAGTTTAGTTTTATTCTTGTTCATATCTTTACAGAAAATGGCACATAAATCACAGGTTCTGAATGACTAGAAGTTATTACAGCTCCATATCTCAAACACCTCAATACTGAATTCTTTTTTCACTGTATGTACATTATTTACACACCATGGGCTATAATCTAACACGTCAAACAAACGGGGGACAAAGACAGATGGGGCTGGATGGAAGGGGTTAATTCTGACAGAATTAAAACAGCAGCTCTGGGGAGAGGGTGCCTGACTGGGACAGAAGGGTGATGTCAGCACAGGATGCTGTGAAAAACAGTGGGTTTGGCTGCATGGGTCTGCGTGCACACGTGGGGTCAGTGAGGAGACGTATGTACACATTACAGAGTGTGCCAGGGGTGCATCTGCATGGCTGTCATTCCCTTCAGGGCTCAGAAGGAGAGCAGGGCAAATTTACTTCAATAAATACCTTGGGAAAATGTCTTGTCTAAGAGGCTTTAGCTGTGTGTGGCACTGGCCTCCGAGTGCGTGTGGGGAAGATGACAGTGTAGGCTGGGGTCACTGGAGGTGTGAGCTGGGAACAAGGCATGGTGTCTGCAACTTAAACCTGTGTTTCCTCACGTAATGGAGGCAGATATCAGCCCCTCCAAACCTGCAGCCCCATCCCAGCAGCTGTCAGTGCTGAGCTGGGAGAGCCATATAGCAGAGGCTCAGCATTTTGCACACACAGGGCCATGGACTTTTATCATACCAGGGGCAGTGGGGTCTCCTGGGGTGTGGAACACAGCGGAATGCAGTGTGAGGTAAAGGGGAACTGGGCTTCGCTGGCCTGGAGGGGGCTGGATGAGGCCTTAGGCTAGACCCAGACCCACAACCAGAGGGACCTGGAGCCACAGCCTGCCATGGGGTGGTGATGGAGATGGGGATGGGCTGCGATAAGGAAAGCCCTAAGAGTGGAGGAGTGAAGAACAGGGCTGTGCTTCAGGGGAGCAGGCTGGCGGCACCCCTGGGGTAGCCCCACATGAAGAAACCAGGGCCCCACACTCTGGGTGGGTGCGGCCAGGAGGCCTGGCCATCAGAGGGGGCTGTGACCCCCAAAGGGCACAGTATCTGTCAGGGCTGGCTTCCACAGCCTCTGTTTCCCTAGATCAGCTTCTCCTCCTTCTGTGATGCACTGGACTTCTCGGTCTGCCTCTCATCCTCTGCCACCTCCTCCCCTTTCTCCAGCTTCCTCGGGGTGTCCCCCGCAATGGTCCCCAGGACTTTGGTGCTGTGCTCCTGAGCTTTGGCCCTGAGGGCGGCAATGCTGTTTTCTCTCAGTTCCTCCTGGGAAATGGCGGTTTTGGGATCCGAGCCCCTCTCTTCCTTGTCACCCTTGTCAAGCTTGGGCAGGGCCTGGCGCTCCACCTCCGTCTTCCTCCCCGCCTCAGCCGCTGCCTCCAGAGACTTTTTGTGCATCCCTAAAAAGAATTGTTGGTATTCGGGTTTAGAAAAGCGCCTGGGCATGGGAAAGCCATCTTGAACTGAAAACAGCAAAGATAAAGAGAGGCCAGAATTAAGGAAAAGCAGAAACCCTCGCTTCAAACAGCAGTCATGGCACGCCAGGCACTCTGGCCCCGCGCAAGTGCAGCCCTGGCTCAGTAGGGATGAGGGTTTTAGACACAGCAGGGGCCTGGATCCCTGGGGTCATTTGCTACTTGGATCAGGGGAGGTTTCCCTGCCTTTCCCTATCAGTTCCTCATACAACCCACCCTTGCCTCCTCAGATTCATGCAGACAGAAGACAGCCCACTGTTAAGATGCCCACCATCAGTTTTGGGACAAAACCAGCCTGAAAGTTCAGAAAGCAGGAAGCAAAGAGCAGGAGCACATTAGGGTAACCACTACATCCACTATCCCTTCTCCACAGCAAACAAAGGCAAAACAGGGCAGCACTCCAGCTTTGTTGGGTGCCCAGAGGAAGGAAAGTGGGATGAGTGCAAGAGAGGTCTTGGCACTCTGTACAACTTTGCAGAGATCCTGAGCAAGCTGGAGTCCTATCAAGTTTTCTCCTCACACCCCACTTCATCCTGACCTCCTTGCCACCCCTGTGAGGCTGGCTGCTCTCTTACCCAGGAGCCAGGGGGCACAGGACTCCATGATGCCGTCCTTGGCTGACTTGAGGATGGACTCAGGCAGTGGGATGGAGTGACGCACCATGGCTCCATAGAGTCCGTACTCGGCCATCACACTGCTCCGGCCCCAGCACTTCTCTCGCTTCCGCCACTTAGCCCGGCGGTTCTGGAACCAGACCTGGAGTGGAGGATAGAGAGGGATGTGAGCATCGGTGGCAGGAGATGTGATGTCCCATCCCTGCACACGTGTGCTTGTGCAAGAGGATGAAGATAGGCATGTGTACCCATTCCCAAGAGCCTCATACAACAGCCGCTGGGTATTTCTCTCCCTCCTCCTTGCAGGAACAACCATGAGAGCAGGTCCCATCCCTCCCTGCAGGATGTAATTAATTTGCCATTGCGCCGTCTTTTTTCCAGCAGAGTTTGGCTCTTGTGTCTGGGATTTGCTTTCATTATCTACTGGGCGCCTGAGCTGCAGCAAGGGGCTGTGTGCTGCAGTGCCACAGGGACAGCAGAGCTGGGGGAGATGCTCTGGATAGGCAGGAGAAGGGGGAGCTGATCTGTGCCGCTTGCCTTGAATTCCCTGTTTGAAAAGACCCACATCTTCTCAGAAAATTGGCAGAATAATCTCCGAGCTGTGACCTGGGGGGCAGCGAGCAGAGACGCGGGCGGAGGCAGGGGTGGCTCGCAGAAATCTATTAGTGCTCGCTCTCCGATTTCCATCCCTCTTGTCTTGCCTGCCCTCCTCCCTCCCCACAACCCCTCCCTTCCCGCAGAGCGGAGGCATCAGCTTTAGATGAAAAATTGCTCGAGGTCTATTCAGAAGGAGGCAAAGGAAGAGTCAGCCCCAGGGGCAGCCCAGGCCTGATTGAAAAATAAGTTAATTTCAGTTTGAATCGATGGGCCTCAGGCACTGAAATATCACGGGAAATTAAAGCAGCAGGTCCCTGGGGAACCACGCCATTGACCTGCGCTAATTAATGCCACGGAGTTACCAGTCGCCTCTCCAAAAGGCAGCCCCTCCCTCCCTGTGGACACCCCAAACACCTCCTCATTTAACTAATTAGACTCACAGAAAATTGGGTGTTAATTTGTTTAGGATTTTTTTTTCCTCCTATTTTTTCCCTCCCTTTCCCGGAAAGTACACGGCAGAATGGAAATGAATGGCGGGGTCTCGCTGGCAGATGGATGCTCGGGGTCACTCCGCAATCTTCTCCGACTTGATTGCTTGATTAGGTCGTTAGCACATTAAAAAAAAAAATTGCTTGCCGTCTGGCGCTGGCCTGATGAGTGGGATGAGGCGGGAATCGCCTGGGTAATTTATCTTTTTATACTGCAAAGAATTTGATTTCAATCTGCAGATATATGGAGGTGCCTTTGACACCTGTTTAACATTACAGAGCTGACAGCTTAACCCTCTGTTGCCTCAGCTGTGGGGGAGCATGGGCTGCAGGGGGGAGCACAGAGGGCTCTGGGACCCCCGGCCCATGGGGACAGTGAGACCTATGTCTGGGTGCAGCCTTGCCAGGCCCCTTCAGAGCACAGTGAGCTCACCTCTTCCACCTGCCTGCCTGGAGGAGACTGCACAGCATCCTTTGCAGGGATGGAGGACACGGGCTCAGCAGCTGTGATCCCAGTTTCTCCCGGCAGAAGACCCCCTGTGCCCAGCAGAGGGGATGTTACAGCCAGGATGCTTCCTGAAACATGACAAGCCAGCATCTCCTCTGCAAAATCCAGAGGACAGCGCCTGCCAATCTGCCTTGGTCTGGAGCTGAACTGACACCTCTCCATGTACCCAGAACAGCTTGCACAAATGTTCAGTGGGATTTTCAGCCAAGCACAGTTTTTTGTGTTTTTTTTCTTTTCTACCAGGTACCAAGTGGGCAACTTTTAAAAATCTCTTCAATTCTTATCCTCAAGTGCTTCCTTACTGAGGCTTTCACCACCTGTCTCTTCCCTTCTTCCTGCCTCGTTTCCCCAAACATCTCACCCCATGCTCCCTGGGCTCCCCCTTCTCCACGGCCAGCTCTCAGTCCTGCTACAGCAGTGGTCTCTCTTAGTGCTGCCCCAAAACCTGCAGCAACAGAACATCCCTTTTTCCCCAGCATGAGCAAAAAAATGCAGGAAGAAGCCCAGGTTTTGCCACAGGCAGACCAATTTTGATTGGCACTGCTGGAAAATTTTCTGACAAAATGCTGATTCAGTTGTACATAAATGCTGTGTCTGGTCAGTGGAACCATAATCAAAATTATCTATGGGTTTCTTCTCAATGTTGTATTTTAATCTTGTCCACGTAACAAGCAAAGTCTATGCTACAATGCCAAATGGGCAAATCAAAATGACATCAACAGTCTTGTAAAATCATTAGATTTCCCAAATCAATTTTTAAAATTTGATGAGAATTTCCTCATGGTTTTGAAGTGGGAAAAAGAAAAATCGAAATGGCAGAATTGCTGGCAGGAGGGGCTGTCCATCTTGTTTGGACACCAAGACCTTAACCTCAGATAGGATCTCAAGTGAAACTAGTGGTGCTCTATGTCAAATATTCCAAGGCCAGGACCCAGCCCAGCTCCTCTACCACCACGCCATCCCACACATCATGGTGGGATGAGCTCCACTATGGCACCTGCAGACTCAGTGCAACACCAATGTGGATGGGGCCCAATCTTGTGATTTTGCTCTCAGTCATGTAGCTCCATAGTTAAGACTTCCTTCTGGGGGAAGATCTTATTCTTTTCTCAGGATCTCTGGACACATTACCAAAATTTTCTTATGCCTCCATTCTGAGCAGAACTATGCAATAGGTTTACGAGTGCTGAGGTACTTAAAATGGTATTGGTGCATCAGCCACAACTTCTGAAAATGCAGGTATTAATTGTAGGTATCCCACTTTTCATTCCTTTATAGTTTGTTTTCAATGTTGGTATTTTGTCTTCTTTGGCTGAAGTTGTTTTTACTTTCAGATGTTTGTTCTACAACTTCCTCTGACTTCATAAAATTTGGTCTGCGTCAACTAATGTTAACTCATTTCAGACTGTGCTTACTGAAACACATCTGATGTTTTTGCAAAGCTATCACAATCTGGTGGGCAAAGGCATTTTTTGGACCAACAGTCTACCACTTAAGATAATTTGCATCCTATTAATTTCACCTCTGTGAAAGATGGGATGCTTGTTCTAGAAGTTCCATCCTCAGAAACTGGATTACAGTGAAATAGGTAAATCTGTCTTGCTATTCTTTGGTTCCTTGGCAGTGACCAGAGTACCTAAGAACCAACTTCTTTAAAGAAACTTTTAAGCACAGATCTGAATAAGGAGAGATATAAGGAGTAAAAATTTCTTGAATTAGAAAAGGATGTGAAAAGTACTTCGTGATGTTGTAGGGTAGGGATGAACGCTAGAGGGAGTGACTGAGCAGAGACAGCATTGGGTGGGGGTAAGGCGCAGAAGGAAGGGAAAGCTGACCGGGCTCTGGGGGATGCGTCTTTGTCTCATCGTGGGCACACATGAAGACCCCTTGTCCCCGTCTGCTGGCACACTGGAGAAATTCATCCATCTGTACTGGCTAAAACCACGTTCTTTATACCCTTTCCCAACAGCAGGAAAGAGGAAACAGGGCAGCAGGAGGTGAGATTTGGTATGTCAGAAGAAAACATTCTGTGAAACTTTCGGTAGGGAAAGCTTGGTCACTCCAGCCTGAAGGAGCTCATCTTCCAACTCTCCTTAGAAAAGAATCTGGTGCTGCTTCCTGGCTGACCTTCATCAGGCAGGAAAGGGGAATGTTTCAGTGATGCACTGGGATATTTCCAAGGTTTAATGCTCATGAAACTTGTACCTCTGCTGATGACTATCAGCAGTATAGCTGTTCCTGTCCCATTACTCTGACAGCATCCCAGATTTCATGTTTTCTTTACCACAGGACACATTAGCTTTGGATCCAGCCACGTGAGCACACCAGCTGCAGCAAACGCCAGCACCTTCAGTATCATCTTCCAGGTGTGTGTTCCATGTACCTGTCTTTCTCAGACCCCTACCAAAACCAGCAGTACTGAAAAGCGTTACAAACGTGAATATTTCTAATCCTACCATCATCTAATTTTCATCCGCAGTGCCCACTGCCCCGGCAGTCAAATCATAGGCACTGTGCACTGCATTGCAGGGTCACAGCACTTCAGAGCAAAAACTGGCAAGGTTATTCTTGCCAGGTTCCTCCTCTGAAGCACAAATGATGACCGATACTCCTTTGTATTATTGATAGTGCAGAAGAGCAAATTGTAGTAGGAGGAATCTCTCATTTCGCAAAGGGACATGAGACTCAATGTGTCCTTGTTATCCACATTCATCATATTAGTTTGTTTACCTAATCAGCTCCTGAAACACTGTCTGCTAAAGAGAGAAATCTGCTTGAGAGTAGACATGAGCCAGGAATCTTAATCAGCAAAGGGATTCTTCAAGGCATCTAGGGTGTTACTGCGTCCTGTTTCAGTGAGCACAATCTAAGACTTTTGTTGGTTACTGTAATTTTCTTGGCTTCTATTTTCGAAGCTGAGAGGGGCTATGCTTTGTCTTTCTAAAAACAAACAGTTATATTCCCTGCTCAAGCACTCCTCGTGCCTAAAGGGAAAACACCAAAATAGCTAATGGTGAATTTTTCTTCACCATGTCTTACATGGTGCCTCTGGCACAGTATTTCACCAGCGTTCTTTCACTTTATGGGCATTGTTGATTGAGCACGAGATGGTCCCAGCCTGAAGCAGCACACACTGGAATGTCCACTAGATGGCCTCAAGCAAATGTATGTACACATGTGCACAGACAAACAGATGCAGACATACTGACACACCAGCATGTGCCTTTGCCAGGTCATGGGGAGCTGCTGCATACAGCTGTTGGACAATCAGAAATTAAGGAAAGGAACAGAATCCCAATATCGTTGAGGAGAGAATCTTTGCTGCTCGTGGGCTGCCAGCCATCTTACACTGTCTATTCTCTGATAAACCCATGGCTCCAATCTTCTGCTAGGGGAGACAAGCTATCGCTCTGTATGATTCCTGCAAAGAAGCCATCTTTGACATTGAGCTTTTGGAGTGAGGATACAGCTGAAGGTTCCTGTCCGTCCACAGGAAAAAGCTCAGAAAGCTTTCTGGACTTCTGTGACATTGCCTTTGGTTATAATCCA